TTTTTAACAATATCTGTTCTTACCATCCATGAGCATGGAATGTTTTTCCATTTCTTTGTGTCTTTTTCAATTTCTTCCTTAAGTGTTCTATAGTTCTCAGAGTACAGATTTTTTACCTCGTCGGTTAGTTTTATCCCTATGTATCTTATGGTTTTTGGTGCAATTGTAAAGGGGATCGATTCCTTGATTTCTCTTTCTGGTGCTTCATTGTTGGTGTATAGAAATACAACTGACTTCTGTGTATTGATTTTATATCCTGTGACTTTGCTGAATTCCTGTATCAGTTCTAGCATGTGTTGGTGGAGGCTTTTTTCTTTCTTCTTCTTCTTCTTCTTTTTTTTTTTTTTTTTTGAGGAGACTCTTAATTTAAAATCAATTAGCCAACACATAGTACATCATTAGTTTCGGATGTAGTGTTCAATAATTCATCAGTTGCATATGACACCCAGTGCTCATCACATCACGTGCCTACATTAGAGTTTCATGTGGTCCGTGAAGACTTACAGTTTGACTTCTTCCTTGCCAATTTGGATGCTTTTCATTTCTTTTTGTTGTCTGATTGCTGAGGCTAGGACTTTCAGTACTGTGTTGAACAGCAGTGGTGAGAGGTGACATCCCTGTCGTGTTCCTGACCTTAGGGGAAATGCTCTCAGTTTGTCCCCATTGAGGATGGTATTAGCTGTGGATCTTTTTGTATATGGTCTTTACAATATTGAGGTATGTTCTTTTTTCTTTCTTCCTTTCTTTTTTAAATTTTATTTGTCAGAGAGAGAGAGCCAGCACAAGCAGGGAAAGCGGCAGGCAGAGGGAGAAACCTGCTCTCTGCTGAGGAGGGAGCCCAATGTGGGACTCGATCCCAGGACCCTGGGATCATGACCCGAGCCGAAGGCAGACGCTTAACAGACTGAGCCACCCAGGTGTCCCGAGGTATGTTCTTTCTATCCGTACTTTGTTGAGGGTTTTTATCAAGAAATGATGCTATACTTTGTCAAATGCTTTTCCTGCATCTGTCATGTGGTTCTTATCCTTTCTTTTATTAATGTGGGGTATCGTGTTGATTGAATTGCAGATATTGAAACCACCCCTGCAGCCCAGGATTTGTAGCCACTATTTTCTTTCTTTTTTTTTTAAATTATATTATGTTATGTTAGTCACCATACAATACATCATTGGTTTTTGATGTGGTGATCCACGATCCATTGCTTTCGTATAACAACCAGGGCTCCATGCAGTACGTGCCCTCCTTAATACCCATCACCGGGCTAACCAATCCCCCTTACCCCCCCCCAAAAAAAACCCTGTTTGTTTCTCAGAGTCCATAGTCTCTCATGGTTTCGTCTCTCCCACCGATTTCCACCCCCTTCATTTTTCCCTTCCTTCTCCTAATGTCCTCCATGCTACTCCTTATGTTCCACAAGAAGTGAAACCGTATGATAATTGACTTTCTCTGCTTGACTTACTTCACTTAGCATAATCTCCTCCAGTCCCGTCCATGTTGATGCAAATGGTGGGTATTCATCCTTTCTGATGGCTGAGTAATATTCCATCGTATATATGGACCACATCTTCTTTATCCATTCGTCTGTTGAAGGGCATCTCGGCTCTTTCCACAGTTCGGCTATTGCGGACATTGCTGCTATGAACATTGGGGTGCAGATGGCCCTTCTTTTCACTACATCTGTGTCTTTGGGGTAAATAACCAGGAGTGCAATTGCTGGGTCATAGGGTAGCTCTATTTTTAAGTTTTTGAGGCACCTCCACACTGTTTTCCAAAGTGGCCGTACCAACTTGCATTCCCACCAAAGTGTAATAGGGCTCCCCTTTCTCCACAGCCTCTCCAACATTTGTTGTTTCTTGCCCTGTCCAGTTTTGCCATTCTAACTGGTGTAAGGTGGTATCTCAATGTGGTTTTGATTTGCATTTCCCTGATGGCTAATGATGATGAACATTTTTTCATGTGTCTGTTAGCCATTTGTATGTCTTCTTCAGAGAAGTGTCTTTTCATATCTTCTCGCCATTTTTTGACTTGATTATTTGTTTTTTGGGTGTTGAGTTTGAGAAGTTCTTTATAGATCTTGGATACAAGCCCTTTATCTGTAGTGTCATTTGCAAATATCTTCTCCCATTCTGTGGGTTGCCTCTTTGTTTTGTTGACTGTTTCCTTTGCTGTGCAGAAGCTTTTTATCTTGATGAAGTCCCAGAAATTCATTTTTGCTTTTGTTTCACTAGCTTTTGGAGATGTATCTTGTATCTTGATGTATCTTGATGTATCTTGTATCAAGATGTATCTTGAAAGAAGTTGCTGTGGCTGATACTGCCTATGTTCTCCTCTAGGATTTGGATGGATTCCTGTCTCACATTGAGGTCTTTCATCCATTTTGAGTTTATTTTTGTGTATGGTGTTAGGGAATGGTCGAGTTTCATTCTTCTGCATGTGGCTGCCCAGTTTTCCCAGCACCATTTATTGAAGAGACTATCTTTTTTTCCATTGCATCTTTTTTCCTGCTTTGTCGAAGATTATTTGACCATAGAGTTGAGGGTCCATATCTGGGTTCTCTATTCTGTTCCATTGGTCTATATGTCTGTTTTTGTGCCAGTACCCTGCTGTCTTGGTGATCACAGCTTTGTAATACAGCTTGAAATCGGGCAACGTGATGCCCCCAACTTTGTTTTTCTTTTTCAGTATTTCCCTGGCGATTCGGGGTCTTTTCTGACTCCATACAAATTTCAGGATTGTTTGTTCCAGCACTTTGAAAAATGTCATTGGAATTTTGAGCGGGATGGCGTTGAAGGTATAGATTGCTCTGGGTAGCATAGACATTTTAACAATGTTCATTCTTCCGATCCATGAGCATGGAATGTTTTTCCATCTTTTTGTGTCTTCTTCCATTTCTTTCATGAGTGTTCTGTAGTTCCTAGAGAATAGATCCTTTACGTCTTTGGTTAGGTTTATTCCAAGGTATCTTATGGTTTTTGGTGCTATTGTAAATGGAATCGTTTCTCTAATTTCTCTTTCTACAGTTGCGTTGTAAGTGTATAAGAAAGCAACTGATTTCTGTGCATTGATTTTGTATCCTGCCACATTACTGAATTGCTGTTTGAGTTCTAGTAATTCGGGGGTAGAGTCTTTTGGGTTTCCACATAAAGTATCTATCATGTCATCTGCGAAAAGAGAGTGTTTGACTTCTTCTTTGCCAATTTGAATACCTTTTATTTCTTTGTAGCCACTATTTTCTGAATTGGTGTCAGTGCTATTATCTTATACCAAAGTATCCCTCAACCTTATTTCCTATGGCTTCCCACCAGATTGCCCCTCTTGTGAATACAAGAGTTGTGGCGAACTAGAAGATAGCAGAGGCAAAGGTTGAAGGAAAGACTGAGCACATCACCTGGAATGATGGCCTCCATCACGTACCTTTCACTTTCCACCTCTAAAACTGTGGATACATCTGCTGACCCCTCTGAACATCAGTTTCCTGATCTGTCAAACAGGAATAACAACACCTTGTCAACATCGGGAAGATTAGATAAGGTCCTGTACATGAAAAATTTCTTATATAATGCATGGCAACATAGCAGATGTTCAAGTAGAACAAAGTATGATATCCCAAATTCTCTCATTCCACAACCTCAAAATTCACATTATGGGAACTTCTAAAAATGGAAGAAAATAATATTAAATCATTTTTTATCATCACAGAACTGGACAAAAGCACTCCTTTGCTCCATAATAGTCCATGACTCCCCTTGCTGTCAGGATGGCCCAGACTTCTTAGCATGAATATAAAGTCCTCTAGGATATACTCCCTTCCTACGATTTCAGCCTTATCTGTCTTCAACCCCTACCCTTCCCAATCTTTGCGCCCTATGATCCATGAATCCTACGGAATATCCCAGTTGTCTGAAAGCATCATACTTTCTCTCATTTCTGGGCACTTTAAAAAATGTTCTTCCCTATACTTGAAATGATTTTCACTGTACTAGTTTCTGTTTATCTTTCCATACAGTTCAGAAGCCATCTGCTCAAGAAGACTTCTGTAAGCCTCCTGATGAGCTGGCTGGGTTAAATGCTCCATCTCTGTGCTTTCCTAGTACTCAAAGTGTTGTATTGCCATCCTAATGCTCTCAGTGTTCTCTTGGAATAATCTGTTTACTCAACTATCTCTTCCATCTCTCTGAGCTCCTTGAGGGGACCAGATTTTGAAATCCACAGTGCCTGGAACACAGTAGTGCTGAATAAATGCTTATTCAGCATTTATTGCCAATGCAAGTAAGACTGTTTAATGAAGTGCAAGTTTTACACAAAAGCTTTAATTGTCATAAGGACACTTAACATGAGATCTAGCCTCTTAACAAATTTTAACTGTACGTTATTGGTGACTTTAGGTGCAATGTTGTGTGGAAGATCTCTACAGTTTATTCATTTTACTTAACTGAAACTTTATGCCTGTGGATTAATAACTGCCCAGTAATTAATAACTGCCTATTTTCCCCTCCCCCTGAGTCCCTCCTGTTAATTACCATTCCAATTTGATTTTATGAATTTAACTATCTTAGATACCTCTCAGAAGTGGAATCATGTAGTGCTTGTCTTTTTTTCCTCTGGCTTATTTCACTTAGCATACTATCCTCAGGGTTCATGCATATTGTCACATATTGCAGAAGTTCCTTCATTTTTAAGGCTGAAGAGTGTCCCACTGTACGTATATACCACATGGCCTACCTTCATTCTTTTGCATGTGGACTTCCAGGTTTTCCAACACCATTTGTTGAGGAGACTGTCCTTTTCCCATTGAATGGCCTTGGCACCCTTGCTCAAAATCAACTGACCCCACGCACAAAGGTTTATTTCTGACTATTCTATTCCATTGGTCTGTGTGTCTGTCTTTATGCCAGAGCCACACTGTTTTGATTACTGTACCTTTGCAGTAAGTTTTTTTTTTTTTAATTTTTTTTAAAGAGTTTTTATTTATTTATTTTGACAGAGAGACATCGAGAGAGGGAACACAAGCAGGGGGAGTGGGAGAGGGAGAAGCAGGCTTCCCGCAGAGCAGGGAGCCCGATGTGGGGCTCGATCCCAGGACCCTGGGATCATGACCTGAGCCGAAGGCAGACGCTTAACGACTGAGCCACCCAGGCGCTCCCTGCAGTAAGTTTTGAAATTAGGAAGTGTGAATCCTCCACCTTTGTTCATTCTTTTCCAAACTGTTTGGGGTCCCTTGAGAGTCCATATGAATTGTAAGATGGATTTTTCTATATCTGCAAAAAATGTCATTGGTGTTCTGACAGGTACTGCATTAAATCTATAGGACACTTTGGGTACTATTGCCGTCTTAACAGTATCAAGTCTTCCCATAAATGAACATTGAATGTCTTTCCATTAATTGATGTCCTTTTAAAATTTCCTTCAGCATTTTCTTGTAGTTTTCCTTTTTTTAAGATTTTTATTTATTTGAGAGAGGGTGAGCGAGCGAGCGAGAGAGAGCACGGGCTGGTTGGGGGGGTGGGTGGCGGGGAGAGAGGCAGAGGGAGAAGCAAACTGCCCACTGAGTAGGGAGCCAGACGGGTGGCTCGACACCAGGACCCCAGGACCCCGGGTCCACGACCTGAGCCGAAGGCAGATGCTTATCCGACTGAGCCACCCAGGCGCCCCCCAGTTTTTTGTAGTTTTCAGTGTATAAAACTTTCACCTCGTTGGTTAAGTTTATTTGTAAGTATTTTATTCTTTCGATGCTGTTGTTGTTGTCAAGTTTAGAGCTTTTGTAAATTCCAGTACTAATCCTTTTTAAGATGCGTGGTTTGAAAATATTTTCTCCAAGGATGTAGGTTGTCATTTCATCTTTTAACATGTTCTTTCATTTCCAAAGTTGCTTAGGTTAATACTGTTTCCCTCACAACCTTCAGTGAGGTTTTTTTTTTTTTTCTTCCATGCATTTGAAATACGGTCAGAAGTTTTTGTCACATTCTGCATTCCGTTCTGATATTCCTGAATTCTTTAATGATGTTCTAAAATTTTGGATACATTAAGTTTCATCCTGGGTGCTCCAAGTCTCTATGGATTGTGACAACTGCATAGTGTCATGTAAACGCCAATCAAACATCACACAGTCTTAGTGTGCTCAGGTTACTATAACAAAATACCATACACTCGGTGGCTCAAACAACAGATATTTATTTCTCACAGTTCTGGGGGCTTAGAAGGCAAAGATCAGGATACCAGAACACCAGAGTGTTCTGCATGAGTACACTCTTTCTGGCTTGAAGATGGCCTCCTTCTAGTTGTGTCCTCACTTGACAGAGTGAGAGAGAGCTTTGGGCATTTCCTTTTCTTACAAAGACAGTACTACTCTCATCATCATGGCCATCCTCGCATCCAAACCTAGTCAATGGCCACGTCCAAATACCATCACACTGGCGGTTAGAATTCACATATGACTTCTGAAGGCTGGGGTCACACAGGTTCAGTCCATAACACACCTCTATAGTAGTTTCAAAGCTCCTTTACCTATTCAAGTACCCCTCCCGCAACTCTTGCCAAGCACTGACCACTTCACTATCTCTAGTTTTGCCTGTTCCACAATTCCTTGTAATTGGATCACACAGACAATACACACACACACACACACACACGTAGCCACTTGAGACTGGCTTCTTTCAGTTATCAATAGGAATTTAGGATTCATCCATATCTGTCAGTGCCTTGAAAGATCATTCGTTTCTTTTGCCAAATAGTATTCCTTCGTGTGGATGCACCAAGATCATATTTTTTTGATGTAGTGTTCAATGATTCATTATTTGTGTATAACACCCAGTGCTCATTACAACACGTACCCTCATTAATACCCTTCACCGGCCTACCGCGGCACCAAGATCATTTATTCATTCATCTGTTGATGCACATCTTGGTTGCTCCCTGTTTTGCAATCATGAATAAAGGTGCTATAGACATTGGTGTGTAGGATTGTGGGCAGACTGACGATGTTGGGCTTTGCTGCCGCCCTGTGATCCTGGAAAACAGTGAAGGTTAAGAGATCTCCCCAGTCTGTGTTCTAGGAAAGTGCTTACTGCAAGGAGGCTTCCTTCGCCATATGACTCAGGTGAGATTGACAGGTGCCCCCTTGTTTGCTGTGACAAAACCAGTCACGGTCCCTCCAAACTCCCATTCCTCAGCTCATAAATGATCAGCTGAACTCCTTGTGTTTACTGAACACCTGGAGCAAAATACTTGTGAATCAGGCTCTGCTTAAGGTTCTGTCCTTTCCCTGGGTTTCTGAACTTTGACCCCCCGGCAGTCGGAGCCAGGGCACAGCCCTTCTGAGAGTAGGCTGGCTTCAGGGTGAAGCATTCCTTCATTCGCTGCCTGTTCACACCACCCTTTCGTTCCATCTCTCCACCCTGGGTTCTCTGTGTCCTCTCTAGAAAGGAAAGAGCCTTTTGGCCTAACTCCTGGGACGCTTGCTGATCTTATGGTCAGAGTGTTCTCTCTGTTATAAGAGTGCCTCTCCCCACCCCTTTTCCTTACCACGATCCCTTGAAGAGTGTTCTTACTAATTCTGGATTAGTTCTGGAAGCTGATTTTTATTTGACAGGAGATAAGTTTTTAAGTCAGTTGGGCAAATACTTAATAGTATGATTATTGGCTCCTATTACTGTAAGACTCTGTTTGACTTTGGTAAGAACCTATCAAACTGTCTTCTTAAGTTGCTGTGCGATTTAGAGCTCCAACCGTAAATGAACGAATGCTCCTCTTGTTCTGCATGCTCACCAGCAGTTGGTTTTGTCAGTTTTCCGGGTATTAGCCATCTGAGTAATGTGTAGTGTTACCTCATTATTACTTTAATTTGCATTTCCCGTGTCCCAAATGATCTTGATCATCTTTTCATATGCTCACTTGCCATTTGGATATTTTAATTGGTGAGGTGTCTGTTCAGATCTTTTGCCCATTTGTAATTGAGTTATTTGTTTATTAGTTGAGTTGTATCAGTTCTTTTTTTAAATATTTTATTTTATCTTATTCGGTTATGTTAGTCACCATACAATCCATCATTAGTTTTTGATGTAGTGATCCACGACTCATTGTTTGCGTATAACACCCAGTGCTCCATGCTGTACGTGCCCTCCTTAATACCCATCACCGGGCTAACCCACCCCCCAACCCCCTCCCCTCTAGAACCCTCAGTTTGTTTCTCAGAGTCCATAGTCCGTCATGGTTCGTCTCCCCCTCCGAATTCCCCCCCCTTCGTTTTCCCCTTCCTTCTCCTAATGTCCTCCATGCTATTCCTTATGTTCCCCAAATAAGTGAAACCATATGATAATCGCCTTTCTCTGCTTGACTTACTTCACTTAGCATAATCTCCTCCAGTCCCATCCATGTTGATGTAAAAGTTGGGTATTCATCCTTTCTGATGGCTGAGTAATATTCCATCGTATATATGGACCACATCTTCTTTATCCATTCGTCTGTTGAAGGGCATCTCGGCTCTTTCCACAGTTCGGCTATTGCGGACATTGCTGCTATGAACATTGGGGTGCAGATGGCCCTTCTTTTCATTACATCTGTGTCTTTGGGGTAAATACCCAGGAGTGCAATTGCTGGGTCATAGGGTAGCTCTATTTTTAAGTTTTTGAGGCACCTCCACACTGTTTTCCAAAGTGGCCGTACCAACTTGCATTCCCACCAACAGTGTAATAGGGCTCCCCTTTCTCCACAGCCTCTCCAACATTTGTTGTTTCTTGCCTTGTCCATTTTTGCCATTCTAACTTGTGGAAGGTGGAATCTCAGTGTGGTTTCGATTTGAATTTTCCTGATGGCTAATGGTGATGAACACTTTTTCATGTGTCTGATAGCCATTTGTATGTCTTCTTTGGAGAAGTGTCTGTTCATGTCTTCTCCCCATTTTTTGCTTGATTATTTGTCTTTTGGGTGTTGAGTTTGAGAAGTTCTTTATAGATCTTGGATACCAGCCCTTTATCTGTAGTGTCATTTGCAAATATCCTCTCCCATTCTGTGGGTTGCCTCTTTGTTTTGTTGACTGTTTCCTTTGCTGTGCCGAAGCTTTTTGCCTTGATGAAGTCCCAAGAGTTCATTTTTTGCTTTTGTTTCGCTAGCCTTTGGAGATGTTGGATACAATTCCCTTTATCAGACATGAGTTTTAGTAAATATTTTTCTTCCAGTCTCTGGTTTGCCTTTCATTTCTTAACAGCCTCTCTTGCAGAGTGCAAGTTTTTTATTTTTAATAAAGTCCAACTCAGCTTTCTTTTTTTTTCTTTTTCATGGATGCTACTTCCGGTGTTCTGTTTAAAAGCTCAGCAGCAAACACAAAGTCATGTTGATTTTCTCCTACGTTTCCTCCCAGATGCTTTATATTTTGAATTTTAAATATAGACCCTTGTTCCATTTTGAGTTAATTTGTGCAGAAGTGTCAGGTCTGCGGCTCGGTTACACTTTTTTTGTCCTTGGATTCCAATTTTTTCCAGCACCATTTATTGAAAAGGCTATTCTTTCTCCATCAAATTGTGCTTGTATCTTTGTCCCGTTCAACTGAGTCATATTTGTGCAGGTCTGTTACAGGTTTGCTGTTCTGTGCACTGAACTCTGTGTCTGTTCTTTGCCAGTACCACACTGTCTTAATTACTACAGCTTTATAATAAGTCTTGAAATCAGATAATATGAGCCCTGGACCTTTGTTCTTCTTTTTCAGAATTGTGAATTCTTCTTTTTCAGAGTTTTTCAGAATTATCTATTCTAGAGCCTTTGGTGTTCAATATAAGTTTCAGATCAATATGTCGGTATCGTCACAGAGCTTGCTGCAATTTTGATGGGTATTCTGTTGTTTCTATAGATAAGTCTGGGAAGAATTGAAATTTTTACAAGTGCGAGTTTTCCAGTCCATGTATATGAAATATCTCTCTTTTTAGCTAGATTTTCTTTGATTTCTACATCATTGTTTGTGGTTTTCCACAAACAGATCCTGTATATATTTGTTGTATTTATACCTAAGTACTTCATATATAGGGTTGCTATTGTAAAAGGTGGTTTGGGGGTGGGGGATGTTAGTTGGACACTAACCCTTTATCCAATTAAAAACTGTGCAGTAGACATGAACACACATCTCTTCAAAGAAGACATACAGATGACCAACTGACACATGAAAAGATGCACAACATCACTCATCATCAGGGAAGTGCAAATCAAAACCAAAATGAGCTATCACCTCATACCTGTCAGAATGGCTAAAGCCCAAAACATAAACAACAATTGTCGGCGAGGACTTTGAGGAAGAGGAACCCTCGTGCACTGTTGGTGGGAATGCAAACTGGTGCAGCCACTGTGGAAGGACAGTATGGAGGGTCCTCAAAAAATTAAAAATAGAACTGTCATATGATCCAGTAATAGCACTACTGATATTTACCCAAAGAATACAAAAACACTAGGTCGAAGGGATATATGTACCCCTATGTTTATTGCAGCACTGTTTACCATAGCCAAATTATGGAAGCAGCCCAAATGTTCACCGATAGATGAATGGATAAAGATGTGTGTGTGTGTGTGTGTGTGTCTGTGTGTTTTATACAGAACAGCAGAAGTAGAATCCCTGTATACACACACACACACACACACACACAAATATGCATACACACACAATGCAATATTATTCAGCCCAAATGTTCTTCAGTAGATGAATGGATAAAGATGTGGTACACGCACACACACACACACAGACACACACACACAGGAATATTATTCAGCCATATAAAAGCATGAAGTCTTGCCATTTGCAACGACATGGATGGATCTAGAGAGTATAAGGCTAAGCAAAATAAGACAGTCAGAGAGAGACAAGCACCATGTGATTTCACTCATATGTGGCATCTAAGAAACAAAAGTGAGCGGAAAACAAAAGAGACAAACCAAGAAACAGACTCTTAACTATAGAGAATAAGCAGATGGTTACCAGAAGAAGGGAGGTCAGGTGAAATAGGTGAAGGGGATTAAGAGTACACTTATTTTGATGAGCACTGAGTAATATATGGAATTGTTGAATCACTATCTTGTACACCTGAAACTAATATAAAACTGTTTTTTTAACTACACTGGAACTAGAAACAAACAAACAAACAAACAGTAACTGTGAGAGAAGACTCAGAAATGGACGTGGTTGAAGACCTGAAGAGAGTTAATCACTTTTTTTAAAAAGGTAATTTAAAAAAAATGTATCAAATTCTGATTGTTCAGTATTCATGTATAGATAGGTAAGCAATTGCCATGTGTGTATTGTACCTTCTATTGTGGGGGCCGTACTAAACTCCCTTATTAATGCAGCAGTGTTTTGTAGATTCTTTGGTGTTCTCTACATAAAAAATCGTGTCCTCTGCAAATAAAAATCGTTGTATTTCAACATTTCCAATCTGCACACCTTTTAATTCCTCTTTCCTTTCTTACGTAACAAGCTGGGATTCCATTACATGTTGAATAGGAGTGATGACAGCAGACATGTCTGGGGGGTGGGGAGCGTCTGACTGTCTTCCTTCAGCATGACGTTACCTGTAGGTTTTTCATAGATCTTTTTCATCAGGTTGGGAATGTTCCCCTCTATTCCTGGTTTGCTGAGAGTTTTAAACATGAAGCCTGTTGAATTATCAAGTGCTGTCTGCATCGCTAGATATGACCATATGATTTTTGTTCTTTAGCCTGTTGATGAGGTGAAGTATATCCGTTGATTTTCAAATGTTGAACTGGTCTTGTGTGCCTGAAAGATATCCCGTTTGGTCGTGGTATACAGTTCTTTCTATGCATGGTTGGATTCAATTTGCTGATATGTTGTTGAGGAATTTTATGACAGTGTTCATGAGAGATCATGGTGTGTGGTTTTCCTTTCTTGCAATGTCTTTGTCTGTCTTGCTATTAGGGGAAATGCAGACCTCAGAGAATGAGTTAAGAAGTGTTGCCCTGCTTCTATTTTCTGGAAGAGATGGTGGCAAGTGGGAATCATTTTTTTTTTTTCTTTAAATATTTGTTTGGAATTCACCAAGGAAAGAGTCTGGGCCTAGGGCATAAGTATATAACTGTTCAGGTTATCTATTTTTCTGCATGAGATTTGGTGGTTAACGTCTTTCAAGGAATCTGGCCATTTCCTCTAATGGATCAAATTTGCAGGCATAGGATTGCCGATGGCATTACTGTATTATCCTTTTAGTGCCCACGAGATCAGTAGTGATGTCCCATTCTTTCCACTCAGATATTGGTAAGTTGTGTCTTCTCTTTTTTTTCTTGGCCAGAAAGAGGTTTGCCTCTTTTATTGGCCTTTGCAAAGAACCAGCTTTTAGTGTCATTGATCTTTGCTACATTTTTCCTGCTTTCGATTTCATTGTATTCTGCTCTGATTTTTATGATGGATTTCCTTCTGTTTACTTTAGGCTTAAATAGGTCTCTTTTCCTACTTTCTTAAGGTTATTGATTTTAGATTGTTCTTCTCCAGTATGTGAATGTATGCTCTAAATTTCATCTCCCTCTGAAGTATTGCTGTTTCACAATAATTTTAATAAGTTTTATTTTCATTTTAATTTAGTTCAAAATGTCTTTAAGTGTTTCTGGAGCCTCCTTCTTTCGTCCATGTGTCGATTAGACATGTTTTCTTCCATTTCCAAACATAGGCAGCTTATCCATCTACTTTTTTTTTTTTTGAAGATTTTATTTGTTTATCTGACTGAGAGCTAGAGAGAGAGCACAAGTAGGCAGAGCAGCAGGCAGAGGGAGAGGGAGAAGCAGGCTCCCCGCTGAGCAGGGAGCCTGACGCAGGGCTGGATCCAGGACCCCGGGATCATGACCTGAGCCGAAGGCAGATGCTTAACTAACTGAGCCACCCAGGCGCCCCTCCATCTACTTTTCTGTTGTTGATTTCTAGCTTGATTCCACTGTGGTGTGAGAACCTACTTTGTGTGAGTTGGTGTGAGAACCTACTTTGTGTGAGTCCTATTCCTTTATATTTGTAGGGGTGTGTTTTCTGTCCCCACATATTGTCTATCTTTGTCAGTGTTCCCCGTGAGCTTGAGGGGCTATGGATTCCGCTGTTGTTGAGTGGTGGAGTGTTCTATACAGGTCAAGGAGATTGAGTTGATGGATAATGCTGTTCAGGTTATCTGTATCTTTTCAGTATCTGCTTGTCCGCCTGCTTGATTTACCAATTAGTGACAGAAGGTGTTGAAATCTCTCACTACCATCAGGGATGTATGTATTTCTCCTTGACCTTTTATCAGGTTTTGCCTCATGTATTTTGACACCGTTTAACATTGTTATTAGGGGCTTACACAGTTAGGATTGTTATGTCCTCTTGGAGAATTGACTCCTTAATCATTATGTGATGCCCCTCTTTATACTTGGCAATTTTCCTTGTTCCGAAGTCTGCTTTATCTGAAATTAATGGAGCTCCTGCACCTTGCTTTGGCTTGGTGTTAGCATGGTAAACCTTTTCCTGTCCCTTTACTTTTAAGCTATCTGCACCTTTGTGTTGAGCGTGAGGTTCCTGTAGGCAACTTATACTTGGTATACTTGGATCTTTCTTGTGTCCGCTCAGAAAAATCTCTCTTTAGCGGGTGTACTTAGGCCATTCTCATTTAAAGTGATTATTGATACAATTGGATCGATATTTGCACCTGTTTTCCCCTCTTTTAGCTTATTGCTTATACTGCTTCTCAAACTGTTTCCAGTGGTTGCCCTAGAGTTTACAATATACACTTTTACTAAGCCAAGTCCACCTTCCAGTAACACTATACGGCTTCACGTGTAGTGCTGCAGGTGCCTTATCACAGAGTATTCCTAATTCCTCCCTCCCATTGCTTGGGATACTTCTGTCTTCCCTTTCATCTATCTGTGTGCTATGATGACGCAGTACATTGTGCTATCCTGTTTTAGAGAAGAGTCATCTTTCAGATGACACAAGAATAAGAAACATAAAAGACGTTATTTTACCTCCATTTTACTTCACGAGTCTCTTCCTTTCGTTAGGTAGACCCACGTTTCCGACCCATATTATTTTCCTTCTGCCTGAAGGACGTCTCTTAACATTTCTTGCGAGGCAGATTTCCTGGAGATGAATTTGCTCAACTTTTCTTTGAGAAAATCTTTACTTTTTGTTCATATTTTACTGGAAATAGATTTCTAGGTAGATGGTTTTCCTTTTCAAACAACACCTTAAATATTTCATTTCACTCTACTCCTTCTTTGCATGGGTCGTGATGAGAAGTCAGCTGTAATTCTTATTCACATTCCTCGATAGGTAAGATGATTTTCTCTTTGTTTTTAATTTTATACAGTTTGAATATAACAAGTCCAGGGGTTTGTGTGTGTGTGTGTGTGTGTGTGTGTGTGTGTGTGTACTTAGTGTATATGCTGCTTGGTATTCACTGAGATTCCTGAATCTATGGTTCGGTGTCTGTCACTTATTTTGGCAGTTCTTGGCCCTTATGGCTTCCAGTTTTCCTTCTTCTCTGTTATCTCTACTTCTTTCCTTTTTTGGAGTTTGGATTAATATGTGAAACGTTTTCCAATTTCACATGACAGGATGTTCAGTTATGGGTTTTTTTTTTTTTCTTTTTCTGTTATTATTTCCTAGCATTTCTGTTTGGAAAGTTTTATTGACCTATGACTTATCTTCAAGCTCACCAATTCTTTCCTCCATTGTGCTGAGTCTATTGACAAACCCTCCTTTCTGTTACTGTGTTTTAATTTTCTAGTATTTCCTTTTAATTCTCACTCAGAATTTCCATCTCTCTGCTTACATTACCCGTCAGCTTTTGCATGTTGCCTATTTTTCCATTAGAGCCCTTAACAAATTAATCATAGTTCTTTTAAATCCCCTATTTGACAATTCCAAAATGCGTGTCATATCAGAGGCTGGCTCTGATGCTTGCTTTGTCTCTTCATTCTCTTAATTTTCGTCCTGCTTTGTAATTTTTTTGTTGAAAGCCAGACATGTTTGTCTGGGTAATAGGACCTGAGGTAACTAGGCATTTAGTGTGAATATTTATATTAATCTGGCTTGTTATGTTTGCTGTAGCTGTAAGTGCCAGAAGCTTCCAGTTCTTCGAGTGTCCTTATTTTGGTGCCCTCTCTTGAATTTGAGCTTCCCAAATCACTCCTGTTCACAGGGAATCTGCGGTTTTGCAGTGCTTTCAGCTATAATCCACAGTTATTTCTCTGGAGCCCCATTGATGTGGTAAGGTGTGGGGAGAGGGAGGTAATTCTGTAGCTTCATGGTTAAATCTCTTGTCTTTTAGTGGGGGCCGTGTCTCTGGGCTGCAGCCTTCACAGGTGTATCTCCAGTGGCGTTGCCTTCTCCCATGCCCTCTATCTTTCCCTGGCTGCAGTATTCTCAAATTAGTTCCTGGAAGGCTTGATCCCTATTGCCTACCCCGTTTCCCTCAGGTGGGACAGGAAGTCTAGAGGGGGCCTGTGTGGGAGGAATACCCTTCCTCCACCTAGGGTAAAGCTCTAGCCAATTGTTTTCCCTGGAGAGTAGCCCTCTGTCATGGGGAAGGCTCTAGGGGTTATTTTGACAATGATTACTCTTCCTCTCTCCCAGCCACAAGAACTAAGGCACCTTTCTCAGAACTTCACCATGAAAATCCATTTCCTGGAGTGAAAGACCATGAACATGTGGCTGCCCCCTAAGACTTCAGGGGATGGAAGGGGGGGCAGGGTGGAGATGTGGTAGGGGAAGCAGATTCTCACTCTCCTGTTAGTCCAGACTCAGCTTCAAGCAATTCAACTTATTTACCATTTGAGTGCTCTTACCAGTTTATGACTACAGAGGATTCTGACCCAGGAAAGCAGATCTCAGTTTCGACGGTTTGAATTCAACACTCTCTCGAGATTTTATGTGGTGGTTTGCCCTGCCACCTCAGTACTCTGATGAGTCAAAAAAAAAAAAATAGGTTGCTTCAGCTTTTGCAGTGTTTTCTTGTTTTAAGGAGGGATTGCTGATTTCTACCCTGTTTTATATGTTGGAGCTGAAACCAGAAGTCTCATTTGTGCCCAATTTTGAAACCCAGCATAGTCATTATAAACCTATGATTTGCAAATATCATGGTTAAGTACCAAGAGAAGCAGATGCAAGTTGAAAGTATTTGTCTGAGCGAGCCAGTAGGAAGAGTGTGGTGTTTGTGGTGGGAAGAGTGATGGGGCATAGTGTGTGTGTGG